ATTCTCCAGCAAACATTGCTGAGGCTTTTCCTCTTTCTCGCTACCCGACCACTGATAATTCACTTTGCCCTCTGCCTTCTAATGTATGTGGCATGTGCCTCTAGCACTACACTAGCCTGGGATGAAGTGACTGTGGGGCATTCTGTCTCCCTTCCTGGAGTAAAAGTCCTAAGAGAACACAGCCTGCATCTGACAGGCTGTGAATAGGCATGCTGGCATTACAAGATTCTTGGGAGAACTAAATGAGAGGTGCCAAAGGCTGAGCACAGTCTCTGGTGCACAGTGCAGACTCAAGTTCCCTTAGCTGGTGTCAATGGAAATATTAAAGTGACCCTCCTCCCACCACCCCTGCCACCCCCAGCCCTAATTCTGTCCCTGTCTATCCCCTTACCCTGCTTTATTTCTTCGTCATGGCAATTGTTACCAGTTGAAATTATGGTAGTCTCTCTTGTCCATCTTCCTGCTGGGATGTGAGCTCCAGAGAGCAGGGACTAGCTTGCCTTGATCTCTGCTGTGTCCCCAGCTCCTGTCATACAGGAGGTGCTAAATATTTGATGAATCGACGGTGGCTCCAGCCAGTGCCTATGCTGGACACTGCTGAGGTTTCAGAGAGTCCCTGGGGGAGTCCCCCTCTCCCAGCTGGGGCCACCCACTTGCTCACTGGAAATCGCAGCAAGGCTGGTACCATCTCTCCTGGAGAAGGGAGTATAGTCATTTGTCCAGACCAGAAAAGCCAGAGGGATGCCAAGACAATTTAATGGACAGAGGATAATATTTCAACAAATGGTGCTGTAGATATACAAGTGCAAAAGAATGAATTTGGACCCCTACCTTACAGCATATGCAAAAATTAACTCAAAATGGGTGGATCATAGATTAAAACTAAAGAGCTAAAACTATAAAACTCTTAGAAGAAAACATAGGAGTCAATCTCATGGCAAAGCTTCCTTAGATATGATGCCAGAAGCACAAGCAGCAAAAATAAAATAGATAAATGAGACATCATCAAGATTAAAAACTTTTGTGCTCCAAAGGACACCATTAAGAAAAGATTGTGAGTGAAAAGATGACTCACCAAATGACAGAAGATATTTGGAAATCATATATCTGATAAGGGACCTGTATCTAGAATATATAAAGAACTCTTACAACTCAATAATAAAAACACACATATCCCAACTGAAAAAACAGGCAAAGGATCTGAATAGATATTTCTCCAAATAAGATGTACAAATAACTAATAAGCACATGAAAAGATGTTCAACATCATTTCATCAGGGAAATGCAAATCAAAACCACAATAGGATAATATTTCACACCCACTAGAATGGTTATAACAAAAAAGACAAATAATAACAAATGTTGTCGAGGATATGGAGAAATTGGAACCCTCATACATTGCTGGTGAGGATGTAAAATGGTGCAGCACTTTGGAAAAACAATCTGGCAGTTTTTTAAAATGTTAATCATAGACTCACAGTACGACCCAGCAATTCCATACTTAGGTATACACCCAAGAGAAATTAAAACATGCAGTCGCACAAAAACTTGTACATGAATGTTCATAGCAGCATCATTCATAATAGCAAAAAAGTGAAAACAACCTGATATCTGTCAATGGATGAAGAGATAAACAAAATGTGGTATATCCATACAATGGAATATTATATAGCAGTAAAAAGGAATGAAATGCTGATACACGCTACATGTATGAACCTTGAAAACATTATGGTAAGTGGAAGAAGCTAGTCATAGAAGGACCACATATTGTACGATTCCATTTATGTGAAATGTCCAGAATAAGCAAATCTATAGAGACAGAAAGTAGACCAGTGGTTGCTTAGGACTAGGGGAGGTTAGGGAAATGAGGGGTGACAGCTAATGGGTACAAGGTTTCTCTCTGGGGTCATGAAAATATTCTAACACCAATAGTGGTGATGGTTGCCCAACTCTGTGAATATATGAAAAATCATTGAATTGTATACTTTAAATGGATGAATTATATCATATGTGAATGATTTCTCATCTTAGGTTCCCTGGGGTTAGTACAGTGGATCAGGGAGCCTATGGGGAACTGCTGGCCTGGAATCCCAGCCCTCCCTTTAACTGATATGGCATCCTGTAGTTTGCCCAGCACCCTAAAACCTGGGCCCAGAGCTGCCTTGACCTATGCCAGCAAACAGACTGGTCTCCAATGTTCAGGCAGCCATCCTGAAGTGATCTGAGGCTGTCAGGGAAGGGGAGCTCACATGTGCTGAGTACCTACCCTTTGCCATGTGCTTTGTGTGGCCCTTGGACTAGTGAAAGGACTTTCAGGACCAGGAAAATGAGTGCACCCTTACATTTTATGCCCTAACCACCTTACTCTGGTCCCAGTCCTGGCTGTGTACCACACACCCAGCACCTTATTTAATCCTTTTGTTATCCACATAAGGCCTGGCTGACTATTTTACAGGTGAAGGTTTGGAGATTCAAACAAAGCAAGTCTTGCTGGCTCCAGAATCTGTTGTCTTTCCAGCCCGTCCCTCCACTGTGCTGAGTGGAGGAGGCCCTGGTAAGGAAGGCTCTTGCAACAAGGGAAAGCTCAGCAAGCCTGCCAGCTACTCCCCACCTCCTGAGACAAGCCTGGGCTCTGCCTAAGTGCCTGTCTCTGTGGAAGGCAGGAATCCTCAAACATCACCTAGAAGCAGAGAACCTTCTCTTGAAGAATCAGTCTGGGCCACCAGACCCCAAGGGCAGCAGTTATTGCAGCCAGCAAGTTAGCTGGGACCTTGGCTGCAGCTCAGAGACCTCACACTCAAATACTGTTCACTCATTCGTTCAGCAAACATGTTGAGTACCTACTGCGTGCCAGGCCCTGTTCTAAGGCCCTGGGTATAACAGCAAACAAAACGTTCTAGTGGGAGAGAAAGAAAACATTCACAAATAAGTAATCAGGAAATATTAACTTGTGAACAATCCAATAATGAAAATAAAACAGTCATGAGACTGAGAGGAATGAGGGGCCTGGCAAGGAGGCAGGCTTAGAGGAGGCCCTGCACGGTGTTGAGGAGAGGCCCTGAGGCTTCTGAAAGGCAGGCCCATGGAGGGAGAAGTTAAAGCAGTCTGTTGTTTGGGGAAGAAGCCTCTGGGTGAAATTGAATTTTCTTGGTGTGTTTCGTTGGGTTGGTGGGAAACTTCTCAGTACCCACAGTCTCTCCCATGCAGAGAGGACCTTGGAAAGAGGCTTGTGGCTAAGCTGGAGTTGACAGCAGGGGAGCCTCTCACTCCAGAGGCCAGCTGGGAAGTGGGGAGGGATCAAAAGTAGGGATGGAGAGAGGGTATCCTCATGGAGAAATCCTGGGGCCAGCAGGAGCTGCTCGCCCACCCTCTTTTCCTAATACCTCTGCTCAGGCCTTGGGGGCTTCTATGTCTGGTTAGGGCAAACAAGGTAGGTCCTGGGTTCCCTCCTCAGTCCCTCCCCGACTAGCTTGCATCCCCCAAGAGCCTGGAGAAGGGCATAGTCCGGCCCCAAGACCTTCAAACCATTCCCAAGGCTTCCTGGCTCTACCCCTCCCCCACTCCAAGCTCAAGCGACCTACACCCAAGTACGGTCCCCCAAGTACGGCAGGGCTCCAAAAGAAAGAGTCTCATGGGTCGGAGTTGTTGGGACTCCAGGAAAGTGCCAGTCAGCGTGTCCATCCTACAGGTGCAGTTATGGAGGCCAAGTCAAGGTCTAACTCAAGCGGTCAGTAGAAGAACCGGATCTGGACCCATCAAGGCCACTTTTCTCCCTCCTTCTTATGGTCCCCGGGGCGGGGAGTCCCCTGCTGGGAGGGGCGCTGGTCTCACCTCTGATCCCAAAGAGCAGGGGCTGGGCGGCAGGAACCCGGAATCTGCGGCCTCTGGCGAGCCCAGGCCCTCCCCCGGCCCCGCTTTTGCTTTAGGTCGGGGCGCAGCAGGACCCGCGCAGCCTTGCTCGCTTGCTCGGGTCAGGGCCGCCGCGCCGGGCTCTGGGCTATCGGGCCGTCGGATTAATATCCAGATATTAAGTAAACAATAAATTAGCAAAACTACAAGAAAATTTTACAGCCCTTTGCATTTGGCAATCATTGAGTGTTAATTAGAAATTCATTACAATTAAAACCCTGCCTAAACAGGGCCTGCGCGCCTTAATTACATCTGATTTTTAATTCAGAATACGTGTTTACACAGTAAGCGCTACGTACCCCATGATTATCCCCAATCCTCTTTATACTGTACTAATTATGTAAATTAAACCTAATTAACTGACGAAAACTGCCGTTAATTCAACTGGTAAAAGATATGTGCTTGCGGAGGAGGCTCGGCCGCCCAGTCCCAGCCCGAGCCCGAGCCCGAGCCCGAGCCCGATTGGGAGCAGGAGACCTGGCCGCGTGGACGCGACGCCCGGACGCAGAGGCAGCGCAGGCCCGGCAGGGGGTGGGGGAGCAGGCGAGGTGCGTCCCGGATGCACAGTCCAGCCCTTTGACCCCTGGTGCCACTGGGCAACGGATAAGAGAGAGAAAATCTCCAATAATGGGGGTCAGGAAGTCCAAGGACAGCGACTCCCGCGGGACATGCTTTGGGACAAGGTGCGGGACCCGGAGCTTCCACTGAGGAGGAGGGGTCCCACCCACGCCTGTTTGAGCCTGCGTTCAAGTCCCAGCTCTGCCACTCACTGGCTGCCTGAACCCGAGCAAGCGACCTGGCTTTGCTACACTTTTTTTCCTCCGCACGGAGAGTTGTGAGGGCGGTAATGCAAGCTCGCGAGCTGCGCGGCGCTGCGCTCTACTTACTGTCCCTTCGCTAAGCTAGGCCCTCTCTGCAGCGTGCAAGGCAGCACAGTTTTAGTCTACAAGATCAGCCTGAGGAACCTGGGTGGGTTGGCTTCCACTGCCTGACCCTCAGTTTCCTTCCTGTAAAATGGGAATAAATGATCCCAACCTAATCCTAGGGCCGTTGTGAGAACCGGCTCTGCAAACGGTGAAGTGCAGTCCGCGATGGTATTAACCTGTCCGACTCTGGTGCAGAGCACAGCTCCAGCCCCAACCCCCAAGGCCTGCTCCCCGAATACCAGCACCAAGCAGCGGCACTTTCCCAGCTTCTCTCCACGCGCCATCAATTTTTCTCCAGCTCAGGTCCGGGAAGGATTGCTGGTTGGGTCTCCGGGGCCAAGACACGGGGAGCTGTCCGTAGCTTGGTGCTGAATGGGGACGCAGAGGCAACACTGCACTCCCCGTGGTGTGGTAACCCGGGGTGCGACTCTTTGAGAGGTCCCCGGCGCCCCGCGGCCCGGCTGCCGGGACGCCCCAGAGGCTGGTCCCGGAAACGTTGTTGGCCCTCGCAGTACAATAGAGGCAGGACAGGCAGGGCTGTCTCAGGGGTTCCCTGCCCATCCTCTTTCCACTTCACCCCCCACCACCCTGGGAGCGTCCTGGCTCCACGATCGTTGTCACCACCATACAAAATTCTGAGATGCCTTTTAAAGAATCATTCGGAGGCTAAGAATAATTACCGAATGGGATTGTAATTATGGGATGGGGGAGCCTGGGCCGAAGGAGGAGGGATGAGCAGGTGGGGACGGGGGGCAGCTCTCGGACTAGAAGGAAAACGGTCTCCTAGGGAAGTGAGGGGGGCGTCAAGAGCGGCAGAGTTGGAGCGGGACAGAGGCAGAGCCTGGGAAAGACGCGCGAATGGAGGGGCCAGAGGCAGAGAAAGATGGCAACTGAGGGAGGTGAGAGAGCACGAACCAGATCTAGAAGAGACCCCGCAGAGGAGACAGAGCCCCCAAACTTGGGAGTAGTTTTCAGGGCCTCGGAGGACACGTTACCCGGGGTAGAGGGGGGAGGTCAAACGAGTAGCCAGGCTGGGCCTCGCCGCTCCTTTCTCCAGGAGCCAGGCCTGGGCGACCCTCTCGCACTTCCAGAGGCCTTTCCCAGGGTCCCTACGAGCCAAGGAAGAGAAGAGACAGGGCAGAGGAGATGAGCCCCAGAGGAGCTGGAACGCAGGAGCAGAGGGGGCCCCACGACAGGGAGCGAGAGGGAAAACGAAGGAGCGGGGCCGAGGGCGACCCCGCGCTGCTACCCGCGGAAGATTTATGGCGCCGCCCGGGTTCCAAGGACAGGCTGCGCTCGCCTCCGCCGCCACCGCCGGGAGCCGCCACGGCCGCTGAGCCCCCTGCCCGCGCGGCCCGCCGCGCCCCGGGCCATTCCTGCCATTATTAACTTCTGTTTGATTAGGGTAATTGTTCAAACTTGGGCCGGACAGTATGATTAATTACAGTTTAATTAACGTGTCCATTAAGGACACTTAATGCCACGGGGGCAAAGAAGGGGGTGGAAGCGGCCGAGGGGGCGCCCGGATGTCGGCGAGGGGCGGGGGTGCGACTGGGACCTCAAATGAAGAGAAAGAGACCGAAATTGAGAGAGAAGAAGACAGGGACCTAATGGGGTATTGGGGAAAAGAACGGTGAAGACAGAGACCGGTGGAGAGAGAGAAGAGAGGGGTGGAGAAAAACGGAGTTTGGGGGAGAGAGAAGGCGCCAAGGGGCATGTGTAGCCTCAGGGGGCTGGACCCCCGCCACGGGGAAACTGAATTAGCAGTATTGAGAGAGCAGGTGACCTCAGGTCTCTCCCAGCGATGATGTGGCTCTTGCCTGGAGCCTGTTGGTGATGGGGAGGGGAGGCACTCAAGGTCGGGGGACGCCCCCAAGCCAGTTCCTGAGGCCCCTGCCCAATGGGGGAAGCGGGAGGCCGCCCCTCCCCAGGCTAGAGCTCTCCTGACGTCTCCCGTCTAAGTCAGGAGCGCGGGGGAGGTGCATCTGCCCCTTCCGGGCTGCCATCCCTGGAGCCCCACACCCTACTCCCCGTCCCGGCCGCTGGTGATCCTACCGGCTCTCCAGGGCCACTGTCTGCTCCGCTGCCCCGGCCCTCGCTTGCGGCCCAAATGTGAGGTACCTCTCCCCGCGCCCCTTCTTCCTGAGCCCCCCTCAGCTCCATCACCTGGCCCTGGCCTGGCCCACTCCTGGCTTCTTGGCGGGGAGCCCTGGGTCCTCCCCACTTCGTTCCTGGGGACAAACTTTGCGACTCCGGGCCCTTCCTCCGTCTTGGCCTCTCGGGCTAAAGCGGGACGCAGGTGCAGGGCGCGGGACGCAGGTGTGCGGCCGCTTACCTGGGGCGCGCAGGCTGCGGGGAGGCGGCGGGCTCCGCGCGTGGCCA